AACAAAGCTCTTATACTTTTATTGAACTGGAATTGAAAGTGACAGAAAATCATTTTGGCCCTGGTGCAGTAAATGTTATCACTAAAACATGTTCTGGGGAGATTAGGACAGTCTCTCAAGCACAAGAGACAAAAGTTCACAAAACACAAAGTGATTTTTTTTTTTCCTGTCCCCATCTTAAAATCATTAGCTTCTCTTGAGACAAAAGTATCTTTGCTCTCAAGGGGTGCTGGGCTAGGTGAATGGGGAAATGAAAATGTCTCTGCTCTGAAAGGAGCTAGGGTTGAGAGTACAGAGTATGCAGGTCTCTGCTTGAAGATGATAAAGAATGGAAATAATGGGAGACTGTGGTGAAAACCAAGAGCCAGTCTTGTCATTGTGTAAAAAAGGCAGGTACCAGGATCAGACTTGCAGGTGGAAACATTCTGAACCTTGGGGCATTACAGGGCAGAAAGGATGCTGATATAGTTGGGCATATCTTTTGTTTGTTACCCCATGTATCTCATTTATCCTGTCTGCCTACTGTCTCTTCCTCTAGATCAGTAGTTCACAACCTCTTTTTAGACTCAAGGCACCCCTCACTAGGTTGAAGTAGGCAATAGAAATACCAAATTTAAAATGGGAATCCATAGTGTTGAAAAAATTCTGTTCTGTTGTGGACTTTCTGATTTATTTGCAACGGAAGAATTGCTTTATTGTTTTTCTGTAGTCAAAAGTGAAGTGAAAATTAGGAGCTGGCATTTTCTGAGGGGCACCTTGAGTCTGAAAAGAAGGTTGAGAACCATAGGCATACATGATGAGTTTCTTATGTATTTCATAAATATGATGCTGAGACAGGAAATTCTGGTGGAAGAGATGTACAAATGACATAATGTTGAAGGGAGGGAGCACAGAAAGGGTGCATCCACACATGTAAGCACATGCACTTGCAGCAGCTCCAATAGAAGCAGTGCAAATTTGAGCCAGGGTTTTTTGCCTCGGTGCATGTGCTTGGACATGCACTTTGGTGTGGGGCAAATTGTGCCACTTGGGGCAAAATAACCCTGCCTAGCTCCTCCCGGATGTGCAGCTAGGGGGAGCTAGAGCCGGGGGCCAGCACCTGTACAGTCCCCAGCAGTATAAAAAACTGCCCTGTCCTGGCCCCATCTGTACAAAAAGCTTCCCTGGCAAGTAGCTCAGGGCTACTTGCTCTCAGGAACTTCTGGGGCACAGCCACTTGGTACTTAGGGACACTACCCATTGTGCCAGCTGGATTGCTGCAGCAGCATCCTAAATCCATTTTTAAAAATACCCCAAAATCCATGTTTTTTCACAATTAAAACAAAAGACCACACATGCACACACTCGAGAGAGCGCGATCAGTTGGGCAATGCTTTATTGGTATATTTACAATGTTAAAGCAGTGTGGAAGCCTACCAGTGTCTCTGTCATCATAATAAAATAAATTCTAAATACCTATATGTGTTGATGTGTGCTTCTGATTTTTTTCACACATGATGGGTGTGTGATTGTGGGATGTGGTGTTTGCAGTAAGGGTATGGGGGAATGTGGGTTGGTGTGTGGGTAGGTGTGGGGTGATTGCTGGGGGGACTGTGGGTGTGAGGGACCTTGTTGGGGGGACTGCTCAGGAGGGGTGGGTCCCTTGGCCCCAATAGGGTGCACCCCCCCCAAACAGCACATGGAATGCCCCCCGTCACAGGGCCCCAGCTCCCCCCTGGAGGGCCACAGCCCCTATCCCTCACAGGGCTCCAGGCACCCTGGAGTGCCACAACCCCCATGCCCAGGGTCCCAGATCCCCCCCCCGGATTGCCACAGCCTGCCCCCCTGCCCAGGGTCCCAGGCACCCTGGAGGGCCCCAGCCCCCCTGCCCAGGGCCCATAACTTACCTTTTGCAGCAGCAGCGGGAGTTGGGCACTCTGAGCCATGGCAGCAGGACCCGGCGTGGCACGCAGGGACCACGTGCCAGACCCAGCCAGGTCCTCCTGGCCCTGGGGCCTCTCGGCCACCCTGCTCCGCTGGGCCCTTGGTGGCAGGACCCAGCGCCGCACATCGGACTGCATGCTGGTCCCAGATGGGTTCTGGGGCCTCTCTGCTGCCCAGCCGGGCTGGGCCAGGCCGGGCCATGGTAGGAGGACCTGGCACGGCATGTGGAGACTGCACGCTGGGCCCAGCCTGGTCCTGCTGCCCTTGGGGCCCCTCTGCTTGCCTGGCTGGGCCATTCCCATGGCAGCAGGACTTGGCGCAGCATGGGGCGACCACGCACTATGCTTGCCGGGTTCTGCTGGCCTTGGGGCCTCTCTGCCACCCACCTGGGTGGGCCCATGGTGGCAGGACCCGGCGCAGTGTGCGGGGACCGTGCACTGTGCCCAGATGGGTCCTGCCAGCCTTGAGGCTGCTCCTGCCAGCTGGCCATGCTGGGTCCTGCCGCTGTGGAAATGGCCCAGCCAGGCAACAGAGGGGACCCAAGGGTGGCAGGATCTGGCTGGGCCTGGCATGCTGCACCGGGTCCTGGCACCAAGGGCCTGGCCTGGCTGGGCGGCAAAGAGGCCCCAGGACCCTGGGGCCCCTCTGCCACCAAGAGGCTCCTCTGCCACCAGTCTGCCGGCCCTGGGGCGCCCCTGCCACCAAGGGCCTGGCCTGGCCGGGCGGCAGAGGGACCCCAGGGCCAGCAGGGCCCGGCTGGGCACAGCATGTGGTCCCCGCATGCCGTGCCAGGTCCTGCCTCTGCCCCGCTGTGCCTGCAGGGGCGTGGCATACAGCAAGACCTGGGCCAGCACCATGTGGTTCACTAGTCCGGCTTTGCACCTAAGCACGTCACACGGCTCCAGGAGGCAGGATCATTTTTGCGCCTCCCAGAGCCCTGCAACCTGCCCCAGTGCAAAGTCGGGCTAGCGAGCCTCATGAGGTTGGGCCGGGTCCATACCCCTCCGCATCCCCCTGCCACCCTTTACCCCCCA